AACACTCTATTTGAAAAAATTATATATATATATATATATATATATATATATATATATATATATATATATATATGTATATATATATATATATATATATATATATGTGCGTGTGTGTGTGTGCATGTGTGCGTGCATAGGGAGAGAGAGAGAGAGAGAATGACAGAATATATACATGGCATCAACACTTCATGGTCACTCTTTGTTTCACACAACAATGTGATCATCTGAATCTGGAGATCATATTGATGCGTAAATCTGACAGTCATCATACAGGTTTGATTCCTATCTACACACTGTCTCTATAACCACTGTATTAAATCTACCGAATATTCTTCCCCTATAAATATAACAAGTTTTATTATATATATATATATATATATATATATATATATATATATATATATATATATATATATGAGTGTGGGTGAAGAGAGAGAAAAGGAAAATCGTATATGATTTCATTGCTTTACAGTAATATGTGTGTTACTGAGTTTTCTTCGTTCAGTGCGTGCTTGTAACCAATTTATTCTCGATAAACATGCAAGTATGGAATCCGATTTCAGAGTGAATAACATTGCAAATAATGAGACGTGCCTGAGGCCGCATGATAGAAATCCTTAAATAGACAATAACCATTCACATCGTTTCTTGCGAAAAAAAAAATGTACATAAAATCTCCCAAGAAAACCTGCGTTAACCTTAATTAAACTTCTATAGACACATGTCAGTGTAAACGAAAAAGAAAGCTCCAATGATAATTTTATAGAAAAGGAATAAAAAAAAAAACGGATTTTGGCAAGGGTCGATTGAATGTGCTGGTTGTTGTTGTTAATAATATTAATATAACCTCGTGATAAACAGTGATATATGCAAGAACTGGACATTGTCTGGGTGAATTAAAAACAGAAAATCCGCTTGTATTTTGAGCTACAAACCGATCCACTTATCCGGATCAGAACGACATGTGTAAGCAAGAATTGATACGCGGGTAGCTTAAGGGATATTGGCCCGGAAATGTACAACCCGCAATGAGTCGGGCTCAAATTCCGACCAGATCCGTTTCATTCACTTTCCCGTGCGATCTCTGAAGTTAAGCATCGTTGAAACTGGTCAGTATCTTGATGAGCGACCGATTGTCATACTACCTGCAGTAAGCTTGATATGTGCAATTTTTTTATAATGAATAATGGCTTGGAATTGTTAATCAGGGTTTGTTATATCCACTTACGCGCAAATATCCTTGGGAAAGGTATGAATTCACTTATTCTCCCACAGCTATGGGTTAAATAGCATGACTTGCCTCATTAAACAATTATCTCTAAATAGAAAAAGTGTTTACAATTTAAGAATTGTCTAGCTTTAAATAATCTGCAAAGGGTTGATAAGCCGTTAAAAATGAATCAGTCTTTTCTTTTGCAGTTATGTTAGAGTTGGTGGGTAGAAAAATCTATTTTGATATTATTATATTCCCATCGACGCTATCACAACTGTCCTCGTTGTTTTTCTTCTCAAACCTTACTTTTCTCATTTTCTCATATATATATATATATATATATATATATATATATATATATATATATATATATATATATATATATATATATTTCATTTACTTTCTTGTTTCTAATATCAATCCACTCCTTCTACCCGAGTTATTAGTAATACTTACACGACCGTTCAAAAGTCTGAAGCCACCTCCAGAATTAGAATGGGATGAAGAAGGGGGGGAAATGAAAAAAGAGCTCTTAGAGTCTTTGAAAAAAGAATAGAATCAATTATCAAACTTATACTTTGAGACTTTCGCAACGAATGCCAAGCATTTGTGCTGCAGTAATCAAGGCTAATATTTTGACGAGAGCAAAATTTAATTATAAAATTCTTCTTTTTTTTCTTTTACCCATAATTAAATTTCTAATAAAAAGTCATTTCCTACTTTTGTCTAATCATGTATAATAATTTTCTCCTATTTTAAGTACAAAACAACTACTTATGGGGCCAATTTAAAAAATTACCATGGATCACCTCAAACTTTTGAACTATAGTGTATATCATTAACCTTTAATATCTCTATAAATAAAATTAAAAAATTTTGCAATCTAAATATATTTTCTGTCTTTAAATAACCTGCAAAGGGTTGATAAACCGTAGAAAACAAATAAATCAATACATTTCTATTACTCATACCTCTTGATTACTTATCATGGTAGGCGAGGTTCGCCAGTTTTAGCACACCAGTCGAAGAAGACAATTTTGATTGATTTATTCATTTCTTTTTTTACGGTTTATCTACCTCTTGCAGGTTATTTAAAGCCAGAAAATATTTTGGGATCTTTTAGAATTGTAATTTTTGTTTTAGATAATTATTTACTGATACAAATGTTAATATTTAACCCATAACTGAAGGGAGAAAAACATTTCCAATTGAATTTGCACGTAATATAGAAAATCTGAATGGAATTAACACTTGGATCTCCAATTACCAATTCCGAGACGTTATCTATTTCACTAACTCAACCTTACAGTATCTGGTATTCCAAACCGTCACCCATCTAGGTACTGACCAGTATCGCCATTGCTTAACTTCGGTACTCGTATGGGAAATAGTGTTTCAACGTGATATGTTTGTAATAGACATACATTTTATGATTGTTTATTCAATCCATGGACCTGGCAATGTGATTGAATTATTGATTTACTTTTTTTAACTATCCCTCAAAAGGGTGATAACCATTTTCAGGTTATTTAAAGCCAGAAAATATTTTTAGATGTTTCAGATTGTAAGAGCTTTTTTTAGATAATAACGTTTAGTGATACAAGTCTCCTTACCTTGGGGGAAGATGAGGTGAATTCCTACCTTTCCCAAGGATATTTGCCCGTAAGCGAATATAACAAACCCGACTGGAATTGGAACTCAGCTTTTTGGTCTCTAATTCCGAACCCTTACCAATTACACCACACGTATTTCTTTTAAAGCATTTCACCCCAAGCAAGGCAAAGGGTTGCTTAGAGTGAAAGTAAGAGTAAAGAGGGAAATCTGAGGAAAGGACAAAGAGAAAGACAGGGATCATGATCAAGGCATCAGAAGATGTCGATCGACATTACATGTGAATGTTTGAAGATTATAGCTGTCAGGGAAGCAAGTAAGAGGAAGGGAGTTCCACTGTCGGGAAGGTCGACATAAGAAGCTGTTGGAGTAGAAGAGGCGATTGCATTTAACTGTTTCGACAGTGAAACGGTGGGACCGAGATGCCAAACTAGTAACACGCTTAAATTCATGAAGTTTGGGTGCCAGCGAAAATAGCTCGTCAGAGCAGATGCCATGAAAATATTTGTAGAAAAGACAGAGGGAAGCCACATCAAGTCTGTGAGAAAGTGACTGGAGTCAAGATGCCAGGTTAGGATCTATCACATTGCATATCCGTCTTTGGATTTTGTCGAGAACCTCGAGATGAACAGCGGCGGAACCAGACCATATATGGCAACAGTATTCAATGCAAGGACAAATGGTAGATTTGAAGGATGGACTTAGACGAGTAAAACCTACTGACGCGACACAGAGAACCAACATTCCGTGTGGTAAATGAAGCTGTTGATTCTAAGTAATTGTTCCACCTCGGGTCAGTGAAAAACGTGAGACTAAGAAGTCATAGAGAGACGCTCTCGTGACGTAGAGCATCAACCATGCTGATTGGATTGGTTTGGTTTATTTTGTTTTACGGCATATCAACCTAAATGGGTTATTTAATGCCGACAATTTTTTTTTTATTGCTGGTAATATTTTGTTTTGTCAAAAATCTGTTTCTGGTAATATTTTACCTTCAAAATTGTATTGCTGGTAATAATTTTTTTTTCGAAAAAGTATTGTTGGTAATAGTTAACTCTTTGCCCATAGCTGGGACCCTAACAAGTACTACCATCCCTTGTCAGGGTGGACCTGGGAACACCAGCACTTAAGAGGTGGTTCCAAGCTCCTCAAAATCTCCTGATCAGAGGCCTTGCTGCTGGATGTTGTTTATCGTCGTACCCAAGACACGGATGTAGCTTATCGCCTTACCCAGGACGAACCAGTGAAGATTCTCTATGGTGGTTTAATGAAAGCAGTTTCGTTTTGGAGGCATTAAAGTTTACTAGCCATTTCCTGGTCCAGTCAACCACAGATTGGAGGGCTTTTTCGAGACCAACGGCCAGATTAACTTTGTCAGCAATGCCGGATTTGCTGTTGAGACAGGAGTAAATGGTAGTATCGTCTGCGTAAATGCTTTCTTGAAAACTGATGACATCAGGAAGATCGTTGATGAATATCAGAAACAGTGTAGGACCCAGGATAGAGCCTTGGGGGACACCAGAGTTCGTATGAAAAGAACTGGAGGAGAACCCGTTCGGACGGCCTTCATTTAACGGTTTGAATGTTTGGATTAAATCAAATACTCGTCCTGTAATACAGTATCCCTGAAGCTTATGAAGAAGGCCGGCATGCCAAACCCTATCAAACGCTTTAGAGATATCTAGAGCCAGAACTCGAGCTATACCGTTATTAACAAATGCTTGGTATACAAATTCAGTTATGGCCGTAAGCACTTCAGCGGGGGACGGAGTAAAGCGGAAACCATATTTTTTGTCAGAAAGAAGATCATGGGAGTTAATGTGCTTAACCACTTTGGCATTGATTAAAACCTCGGAGTCTTTGCCGAAGAATGGTAGGAGAGTGATAGGACGATAGATAGATAGGTCAGAAGGTTCCCCAGAATTCTTAAAAACAGGGACAACAGATGAGGGCCTCTAACAGGCTGGAAAGCAAGAGTCATCGTTGGAATAGTTATATAGTTTGAGGAGAACTAGAGCCAGCTCAGGAGCACATTACTTTAGGACTAAGGCTGGTATCCCGTCACCACCACTTGCTTTTTTAGGGGGCTAATTACCAATACCATCGACTAGGTTAGGCTCATCACACTCAATATAGCCTCAGTTCTAGTGGGAAAATCAGGCGTGGGTTCTCCTTTTGCAACCCCTGGTATTCCCAAGAGGTCACCCATGTCGATACTGGTAAGGCTCGACTGTGCATAGCTTTGGTGATCGTATGGTAAATGGTGTTTCAATCTGAGATGGCCGTAATCTTCGTAAATTTGATGACCTAGTAATTGTGAGTTCAACCCCTGGGCGGGGCGGTATGTTTGTAGAATCTGGCTGATCAGTAACTGAGAAGTACTAAATAAAAACTAGACAAGATATCCCTAGCCATGGACAGTGGAACGCAAACAATCTACTGCCGCAGAGGAAACAAATGACTTAACCCTGATGAAAGCTGGTTGGCAAAACGACCGAAACGTTATGATAAAAAAAAAAGATGAGAGCAATAGAGCTCATGTAAATGATGGAAATGAATTCAGAAAGATTCCTTATAAAGTGACTGGTAATATTAACATTAACATATAAAAAGACTAATATAATAAATTCTACAACGTCCGACCGATAAAACGATCCCGCCTTAAAGAACAAATACCGCGATGACCCGCCAGTCATCCATCACTACAAAGTCCTTCATACTTCAGTTACTTTGTCGCTCCTCTCTTTCGTTAATCCAACCGCCATTACTTTGGTAGTCGAGCAGCCTCTCTTGGCCTCAATTATTCGTGAGAGCCGAGACAATCGACCTCGACCTGCCGGCGAGTAAGGTTTGGTAGCGAGACTCAGTGATATCCTTGCTGTCTGCCAATCATCCGGACGCTGGGGAGCGAACACGAAATCTGTGAAGCTGGCTAGATACAACAAGGATGGATCGAAAATATCTACATTTGTCATGTTTGATTTAATAATTCCAAATCACATAGACAAGAATAGGACAGGGAATTGATTAGGGAGAGGAAGTAGTGACTGCAATAGTTAACTTGATAAGGGAGAGCTAGTGAAAGAGACAGAGATGAATAAAGACTCACTATCGAAAGAATAATCAACGCGCGTCGACTTCATCCTATCGCTCTCGGATTCATTCTTCTAGAAAGCGAGACTTCAGATACGAATGCATGTTTCACATGTCTCAAGATATATCAGTTATAGCGTCAAGAAAGTCGTAATTAAAAATCGACACTGAGTGAACGTCGAATTTTCTTTCAAAATTGTCATTTAAGGATTTAAGGCCTTCTAGGAGATTGTCCCTGTTGGTTCATTGTTACTAAGTTCTAAGTTGCCTCGGCATGACGACAAACTACATCCTACAGCAAGTCCTCAGATTGGGAGGCTTGAGGTTTTGACGAGCGTATAACCACTTCTTAATTGACACACTAACCGGGTGATATCACATGTTAGGGCGCCAGTTACGGACAAATAGCGAACTCCTAAACAAAAACAAAACACTTTTTTATACATTAGTATATAACATGGTATATAAAGATTACCAACAATACTTATTTATAGAAAAAATAGCAACATTACCTATTTATGGTAAAATGATATACAATAGTGAGGTGACCAACAATACCTGTTATAACAAAATGATAAAATGTACATAGAAATATAATAAGTTTAATTAAAGTCATAAAATTGTGTTCAAAATATTCAGATTTATGGATTACATAACCCAAAGACGTTGATATAATATATCGTAAAACAAAATCAGCCAACCAACGAGTTCGAAAAGATCTTATTCCTTTTACTTCTAATCGTGTATATTTTTAAGCATTAATTTTAAACAACATTCTTAGTGTTCTGAATTATCGCAATATTTGATGATTATTTTATTACTCGTTTTATACCACCTGATTGTTGAGGCCTTTATTAAAATAGTATATTAATTTTTACTTTTACTCAACGTTATTTATCCATCTTATTATTCTCTAGTGTTATTTTATTACGGATGTTATTCCATATTCTTATTCTTGGTATTTATCCCAACCGTCTATTATTAATTTATTACTAGCTTTATTCCATCTTATTATTCTTCCTTTATATTCCAAATATCTATTATTATTTTATTAATAGTTGTTTTCCATCTTATTATTCTTGCTTTATATCTAAAACCTCTATTATTATTTTATTACTAGTTTGATTCCATCTTAATATTCTTGCTTTATATCTCAACAATCTATTATTTTTTTATTACTAGTTTTATTCCATCTTAGTATTCTTGCTTTTTATCCCAACCCTCTATTATTATTTTATTACTAGTTTTATTCCATCTTATTATTCTTGCTTTATATCCCAACCCTCTATTATTATTTTATTACTAGTTTTATTCCAACTTATTATACTTGCTTTATATCCCAACCCTCTATTATTATTTTATTACGAGTTTTATTCCAACTTATTATACTTGCTTTATATCCCAACCCTCTATTATTATTTTATTACTAGTTTTATTCCACCTGTAATTCTTGCTTGTTTTTTATACCAACCATCGATTAATAATTTGTTACTAGTTTTATAACATCTTAACATTATTGTTTTAAATCCCAACCCTCGAATATCATATACTTATTAGTTTTTACTACTTATTATTCTTGCTTTTTATCCCAACCCATTATTATTATTTTATTACTAGTTTTATTCCATCTTATTATTCTTGCTTTTTATCCCAACCCTCTATTATTATTTTATTACTAGTTTTATTCCATCTTATTATTCTTGCTTTTTTATCCCAACCTCTATTATTATTTTTATTACTAGTTTTATTCCATCTTATTATTCTTGTTTTTTTTTATCCCAACCCTCTATTTTTATTATTTTATTCCATTTATTATTCTTGCTTTATCCAACCCTCTATTATTTTTATTACTAGTTTTTATTCCATCTTATTATTCTTATTTTATCCCAACCCTCTATTATTAATGGATTAATAGTTTTATTATTATTATTCTTTTTTATCCCCACCCTATTATTATTTTTTTTACTATTTTATTCCATCTTATTATTCTTGAAAGAATCTTATTATTATTCTTTTTTAATTTATTATACTTTTATTCATCTTATTTTCTTGTTTTTTTATCCCTCTTATTATTTTATTACTAGTTTTATTCCATCTTATTATTCTTCTTTTTATCCCAACCCTCTATTATTATTTTCTTACCCATCTTATTATTCTTGATTTTTTAACCATTATTTTATTTATTTTTATTCCATCTTATTATTCTTGCTTTTTTCCCAACCCTCTATTATTATTTTTACTATTTTATTTATTACGTTTTTTTCCCAACCCTCTATTATTTTTATTACTAGTTTTATTCCATCTTATTATTCTTGCTTTTATCCCAACCCTCTATTATTATTTTATTACTAGTTTTATTCCATCTTATTATTCTTGCTTTTTCCCAATCCCAACCCTCTTATTATTTTTTTTATTACTAGTTTTATTCCATCTTATTATTCTTGCTTTTTTATCCCAACCCTCTATTATTATTATATTACTTTCATTCCATCTTATTATTCTTGTTTTTATCCCAACCCATCTTATTATTTTATTACTAGTTTTATTCCAACCCTCTTATTTATTTATTGCTTTTATCTTATTATTCTTGCTTTTATCCCAACCCTCTATTATTATTTTATTACTAGGCTTTATTCCATCTTATTATTCTTTCTTTTTACTCTCTATTATTTTTTATTACTAGTTTTTATTCCATCTTATTATTCTTGCTTTTATCCCAACCCTCTATTAATTTTATTACTAGTTTTATTATTTATATTCTTTTTTTATCCCAACCCTTCCATTATTATTTTTTACTAGTTTTATTCCATCTTATTATTCTTGCTTTTTATCCCAACCATTATTATTATTATTTTATTACTAGTTTTATTCCATCTTATTATTCTTGCTTTTTATCCCAACCTCTGGCTTTTATTACTAGTTTTATTACATCTTTTTATTCTTGTTTTTATTCCATCTTATTATTATTATTTTATTTACACTTATTCCATCTTATTATTCTTTCTTTTTTATTACCCTTTATTTTTTTTAGTTTTATTCCATCTTATTATTCTTGCTTTTATCCCAACCATTTTACCATCTTCATTATTATTATTATTTTATTACTAGTTTTATTCCATCTTATTATTCTTGCTTTTTATCCCAATTATTTTATATTATTATTTTATTATTATTAGTTTTTTATTCCATCTTATTATTTTTTACTTTTTTCCCAACTTATATCTTGCTTTTATCCACTCCTCTTATTATTATTTTATTACTAGTTTTATTCCATCTTATTATTCTTGCTTTTTATCCCAACCTCTATTATTATTTTATTACTATTTTATTCCATCTTCATTTTTATTATTATTATTTTATTACTAGTTTTATTCCATCTTATTATTCTTGCTTTTATCCCTAACCTCTTTTATCTTTTACACTTTCATTATTATTTTTTATTACTAGTTTTATTCCATCTTATTATTCTTGCTTTTTATCCCAACTACTTTTTATTCCATCTTATTATTTCTTGCTTTTTATCCCAACCCTATTATTATTTTTTACTAGTTTTATTCCATCTTATTATTCTTGCTTTTTATCCCAACCTCTGGCTTATTTTATACACTTTTCATTATTATTCTTTTTATTTTATTACTAGTTTTATTTTATCTTATTATTCTTGCTTTTTATCCCAACCCTCTATTATTATTTTATTCATTTTATTCCATCTTATTATTTTATTTTTTATCCCAACCCTTTTATTCCATTACTAGTTTTATTCCATCTTATTATTCTTGCTTTTTATCCCAACCCTATTACTTATTATTTTATTACTAGTTTTATTCCATCTTATTATTCTTGCTTTTTATCCCAACCTCTATTATTATTTTATTACTTTTTATTCCATTTATATTCTTGCTTTTTATCCCAACCCTCTTTATTATTTTATTATTAGTTTTTTTCCATCTTATTATTCTTGCTTTTTATCCCTTCCCTTATTATTATTATTTTATTACTAGTTTTATTCCATCTTATTATTCTTGCTTTTTATCCCAACCCTCTGGCTTATTATTTATTCTTATTTTTTTTATTCCATTTATTATTCTTTTTTTTATTTTTATTATTTTATTACTAGTTTTATTCCATCTTATTATTCTTGCTTTTTTTATCCCAACCCTCTATTATTATTTTATTATTATTTTATTACTAGTT